TGGGTGCTGCACGGATAGAGTACCCGCTATGTTAGGAACGAAATCGGGATTTCAAGCTCTTGCGAAACAGCGTTACCCAAATTTGAAAAAAATAATTCTTTCATTCCAGAATGTTGATTTCTTTGATGCCATCGAAGATTTCCTGATCAGTTTTCGACTTGCTTCTGATGTTGTGTGGACATCGCAAATTAACGTAGGCTTTCAAGTGTGAGAAACATTCATCTGGACCATCCAAAACAGGCAATAAAAGCCATATTTCCACTGCAATTTTGCAATCTTTTAAACTATACAGAAAGAAAGAGCAATATTTTCTATGACCTACTGCATTTGACATTCTTATCTCATTGGTAGCTTGAGAAATGGAGAACGATATTAATAGCAAACGCATAAATGTCAGCAGTAAGAGAAGCATCACAATCGCATGTGCCTCATTCGTTCTTAAATGAATGAACGAATCGCATACGACCAAAGAATGAGCTGAATCCCGAATTTTCGAACAGAATTTCGTATGCTCGTTCGCTTCCAATGTTGTATTTATTACTATATATAAATAAACGCATTGATTATTAGTTATCACATTCATCATAAATCGGTGGTGTGTTACACTGCGTATGTGTGAGAAACATTCATGATTCTGCATAATATTATTCTTGCCAAAAATGACAAACAATTGATCAAAAGAATTTCGTTTCATTTCGAACAAATATTCTTCCTCCACTGATTTATCAAATTCATTTTCCCAAACATAATTCCCTGTCTTCTTCACAAAAATGCATATACAAGCCTCGATGAATATATACCATAATCAACTTAAATCATTAATCAACATTTTATGACGAATTATATAATTTGTTAATTTCAACCAAATGTTACATTATTCAAATAGATTCAAGTTACCAAATAAATTTTGATGAAAACTTTAGATTAAATGCAACGCCTCTGTTGTTGCTATTGCATGCTTATACGAGAAAAACTATGAATGCAATATCAATCTACATCATTTGTCGCTAACAATAATTAATGATAAATCTCTAACAATACCGATATCTATTATAATAATAGTGATAATTATTGTAATTATATTTGTATCATTTTTACTCAGTACAGAGAGTGATTGAAATTATTTGAATCATACGAGGTGCCCTAAAATCCTGGACATATGGTGCCGAAATGGCTATTAACGCAATTCCGTTGGAACTACCCATTGAAGCCTTCATCCACTCTTTCAAACTGGTACAATAACTGAACCCTAAAGAACTGAATACGTAGGGAACCATTAACTATGATTTGTTTTAAGATTACAAGATAGAATAACCGAGGAACACTACATCTAGGGAGATGCATTATGCGATCAGATTACTGTTCGGGAGGGGTCTCTGCCTCGAGAAGAGGCCTACTTGACGATTTCTGATGGGTCGTCATCCTACCTTCGGAACCTAAGTTAGATGAATAATGCCTTTAACGTATAAAATCAACTGACCTCACGTTTGGGTTGTTCTTGCTTTACCACAGCCATCTCTTACAAGCGCGAATGTTCACTCACAAATCGCTCGCGTCAAAACAATTCTTAATCAGTTAACTGCTTGTTATGATGGTGAATTGAAAAAAATTGAGTATTTAGAAGAACAATTCAAGAAATAAATGATTAACAGCTCAACAAACTGGGGTATCGGTATCGACTGAAGAAAAATTGCAGTGTAATTGATGAAAACAGTCTAGAAAGCTGAATCAAGCGGAGACATTTGAGATTGGCTAAAGTCAATTTGTTTCCTTTGTCTTAGCTGAACTATCTGTTACCAATAAATCATCGAAGTTTTTATTCTGAACATGTGTGTATGCATGTAACACAATGATGTTTAAGAGGACATTCTATGGATTAGGGGATTTTTGAGATGAATAGTAATAATAATAAAATA